GTCATCGAAATAACTCGGCGCGAATTCTCGTACTGGCCTCAACAGATGTGATACACACCTGTTGAACGTGGCAGGGGCATTACTGAGCCCTTGTGGCATTACTAGCCATTCCCAGAGCATGCCGCTAGGCGTGCTAACTGCGGTATAGGGTATATCCCGTTCCCGCATTAGGATTTGATAGAAGCCATCCATCAAATCCATGGACGAAAAGATGGTACTCTTTGACATACCATCAATGATTACGTCCTTCCTCGGTATCGGCGTCTGAGCCGGTACCGTTGCAGCGTTCAATTTGTTGAACGCGTGCACTATCCGCCACCCTCCTGTTGCTTTTCGCACACAGAAGGTCGGAGAGCTATGTGGGGAAGTTGATTCCCTCACATGGCCCGCTGCTAAACGATCGGCAAAGAACTTGTCGATCGCAAGTACTTGTTCACGAGGCAGTGGCCACTGCTTCATGACACAGTACTTCGAGCCTGGTTTAAGTTCGACTTCGTGTCGAATACCTTTATCCTTCGGTAATTCGCACGGAACAGTTTCAGGGAATACATCCTTGAATTCAACCAAATCTTCATAGAGAGGATTTTCCTTGAGCGATTCCCATGATTGGGACTCATATCGCTCAATTCGTGTCTTTTCATCTAGGACACTCTCGTCCATAGATGAACTACTGAGAACTCTCTCGTTCTCAGTAAACACTGTTGCTGACCTTATGTCGGTTACATACTCGTCGTCAGCGACGAGTATGCAGATCTGCTTGACTTTGCCACTACGCAGATCACGCAAGAACCTTTTTATGTTCGAGCGTTGGCAACTGAGTGATCTCCGAAGTTAACTTCGGAGGCGCAATCAGATCAAGTGTATAAGCGCCTACACATGATCCGTTATTGACTATGACATTCAATGTCTCTGTCATTTCCTGGGGACTTATTCCCTCAGGCTTCGAAGGACTTATTCCTTCGTCTTCCCGGGGACTTATTCCCGCGGGTTTCGGGGAACTTATTTCCGCCGTATTTGTAATCTTGGGACTTATTCCCTTTACTTCCTCTAGCTGGGGTTGCGCAACCACAGCGAGATCCTCTACGAAAGACTCTCCAGTCGATCTAGGATTATCGTTTCGCTTAACCTGAGCGATCGATTGTTTCTCTTCTAGATGTTCCCCTCTAGGGATACATCTTTGTCCCAGTCCACCCGACTTATTCGAGTGGTGGACCTTCGGCGCAGCCTGTGTTTCCTCACAGCCGCCGGAACTTTGCTCCGAAGTGTAACCGTTTGGTACACTAAGGTTTTGTGCAGTCGTACTAACGACCGTACCACAAGTGAGGCCATCGCACTCACTCGTAGTACATCCACACGCTTGTGGACGCTCCAAAACGTTCATCAGATGGCCATCTGATGAACAAGCGGCAGGCATCGTTACTGTCCGATGTTGCCAGTTTACCCGTGGTTCGTACCTTCTGAGCCACGGTATTCCAAGGATGACATCAAATTTGTCATCCAAATCCAATACGATAAAGTCATCGTCGTATTGGGTATCTTCTAGCGTATAGTGAATCTTCACTATACGCTTCATGACGGTTACGGATGCGCCTGTCGCAAGACGTACCGTCATCCTCGTAGGAGGTGTGTCACATTCACTGAATTTAAAGTGACCATCTTCTAGCGATTGGCGTCGCACAAAAATTGTTGGACGCCCCACAATCGACTAGAGCTCGAAGGGACAACTTATTCGTCACTTCGAGTTTCAAGGTAATGAGTGAGATCTCATTACCTAGAGCAGCAACGCACAATGTCTGTGTGTTGGGAGCAACCTTCATCAAGAGGCCTACAAATTCTCTTGACGTTGCTGGATCAGTAGGGTGCTCCGCACCTACTGATCCTGTCCGTTTTTTTGACGGTCCATCCCGTTGTTGCGTCTTTGCACCAACTGCGGACCCTCGTCCCTGCCCCTTTCTCATGGGTGGACGGTCACTACGCCCAGTGTCGCGAGACACTGGACGAGGGGCACTACACTCGTAAGCGTAGTGTCCTGTCTTTTGACATCTGTTGCATCTCTGCAACTTCTTGTAGCCTGTAGAGCGAGCCTTCTCGCTCTCTACATAACAGAGTTCCATCGGCTCTGGACCTCCGTTGTCATATCGTCTCGGTTGACGATATGATGTCGAGCTGGCGCGAGCCTGTCTCAGACTGAAGTCTTCCTGCTCCGCAATTGAAATGGCTTGTTCTAGTGAATCTAGTTCAAGCCGGAACAGGTGAGTCTTGACGGGACCATCCGCAAGACCCTGCATGAACACCGAAACCAACGTGGGTTCATCCACCGGATTGGAACTTATACAACTCGTGAGATGTCGTATATGTTGAGCGTAAGCGTGCACATCACGCTTACCCTGCTTGAGCTTCAAGAGTTCGGTTCGAGCTCTGAACTCAGCTCTAGGCGGTTCAAACGTTTGTCTGAGCCGCGACTTGAAGACTTCCAACGACCCAAACGCATATGGGTCGTGCAGCTTGAGCCCCAGTGCCCAAGTCTTGGCACGTCCTGCCAGATTTGACTGGGCAAATGCAACTTGCATATCCCCGTCGTCGATGCGACGCGCCCTTATGGCGTCATCCAATTCGACGAACCATCTCAAGAGGGAGTCTTCTTCGACCCCCTATACTTTGAGATGTCAATCTTCAAAGTCTCGGGCCGACGCGAGTGCATCGACCCGCCAGCAGCAGCCTGCTGCTGTCTCAACAGTTCAAACTGTTGAGCACCTTGTTCTCTCAACAACTCTGCTTGTTGAGAACCTTGTTGGTGAAGCAAGGCTACTTTCTCGCGTTCTGCGTCAAGTTCATTTTGAATGAACTTGGCGATAGTAGCATGTTGGGCATCTCTATTGAGAGCCTCTAGCATGACGCTAACAGCATGGATGCCCATGGTCGAACCCATTCGTTCAACCGCATCCCATTCGACATCGCTCAAATGGGAGTAGCCGTCACGCGTAGCGTGAAAGCTTTGGTCATCTTCATCATCCAACATATTCATGTTGGATGTGAACGCGGTCCTTGGACGGACTACGAAGTGCTACCAGGTGTAACGGGGCACCCTGAAGCTTGTACTGGTGACAGTACAAGCTACTTATTCTGATAACAGAATAAGGCGGTGCCTCGTAACTTCACGTACACTCGTACGTGCAGAGGAAGACGGTAAGAAGAAGCGAGTACTCGGTTAGAGTAAAAGTAGAACTGTATTTATAATAGTTAATGTCTGCAATAAATCACTATTTATCTTCATCTAACTATGTCTAAATACAAATGTGTAAATCAGTTATCTGCTCACCACTCATTGCGTGCGTCTGTCGTGGCGCGTCTTCGTTGGTTGATATAATGGCCTATATCAACCAATTAGGAACTACTTGGAAGTGCTACAGAATATTGTCCTTATGACAATATTCTGAGAATATAACTCTTATAGTTATATTCTATTAACAATTTCTTATAAATTGTTATGTAACGATTCACCCCGTTACACGCTGAGCTCTGCGAGCAAGATCCTGACCCGAGCTGCAAAATTTTCGTCGATGTTGGCCGCAAGTAGTGCCCAACAGAAGTGAAGGCGGGATTTCCCTGCTGGTAGTACGGATCCGATGAGGATAATGACGTACAGTCGATGTACAAGCGAAGCCGGGAGGCTCCGTCAAATGGATGCGCTGGTTCATCCATAATTATAGCATTCTGTCTTCAAGCAAAGTAAGCATTCTCTGGTAGCTGTCAAGACTAAGGTATACGAGCCACGCGCACAACGTTAAGTCTCGCTGTGTGTATCATCGTCTCCCGATCGATTCCTCTTGACATTCGTCGACCAGACCGACAGCACGGACAGAGCAGTCGCAGGCGATCAAGAAGATGAAGTAGTTGCCTCTGCGGCAGGCGAGTCCGGATGCAACGAAGACGCTTTATGTGAGCGGTATGGATGACAGGTAGTAAGAGATGGAACCATGGTGGTGGCGTTCTGTCCTCGCCTTGGACGGACTGGAATCTGTTGCGTCCCCCATAAGATTCGCACCCGTGACGAAAGGTTCAAGACGCGTGAAGAGCCGCGCTCCAAGCAAATCGTTTGTTGGTCGGCACACTTTCCAGGTGCCCAAATCGATCGGAGAGTCGCTTGAACGGTCGGCTGCAAATCAGGAAGTGATTATGTAGCCTGCCTCATGATCCATTTGACATTGGAATATCTTTACTACAATAGAAGCTTAGGGACATCATCGCTTTTTAACTAGCATGCGTGACTCAACAAGCATACATTATACAGCACACTGCCTATGCGGGTATTGTAGCTGCTGCGTATCAAAACTGCATAACATGGGACGTGGAGGCTGACTTTATGATCGCAACAAGTAGCCTCTGCATGCCTGCAGTGACTACATACTCATAGCGTCACAAACCAGCACTACAAAAGTTGGATGTTCTGACGCTTTACGGGTGTCTTATTGTGTACACCTGGTTAAGCTGGGAATCTCTACAGCCGTGGGGCTGTCTGACCATCGTGACCTGAAAGCAACCTCGATCAACGATGAGCAATTTTGGCACAAAGACGCACGCATCGTTGAGTCAACTTACTCCCGTTATCAATCCGACTGACATGCTGTATTCGACAATCTGGTTACCCTCCACTGCCCGTCATAACCGACAAAAACAAACCCGTGATGCGGCATCAGAGCAACCACCATTCTACTTTCGCAGATTAAACCACCTTTACTATAAATGACGCTCGTCGGCTATTTACTGTTTCTCAGCTTCGTGTAAGTTAACATCATGGTGTGTGACACAGTCCTTTGAAAAAGGGAGAATATCCTATCCTGGATGGAGCCCTTCCCGTACAGCGGTTCAGTGAACCGCGTCGAGTTAAACCGAGCAGCAACTGGAAAAGAACCAATCAGCGTCAACGCGTGCACGATTGGTTGGCCCTGGCAGGCGCTTTTGGTTGCGAGCAGTACGGAACTGCACCAACGAACGGAATCATGGGCATGTAAGTGAATGGAATCGATAGGAGGGGAGTCGATAGAGCGCCCGGTCGCCTTTGCTCAGAGCATGCTTCGGTTGGATAGTGATTGGCGAGATTGTATAGTGACAACAAATGCAGTTTTTTGGGTAGTCACAAGCAGGAATCATGCTGTAAACTTGACCAGATCCCTGAAGCTCCTCGTTGAAGGACTCGTACACACAGGCGACACTTACTTGATTGTGAATGGATTGGGTAACCAGACTAATTGACTTGGATACTGGTTTCGCTGCTATGCTGTAGTGTCAAGAACGGAAAGGTTGTGGTGCTGCTAAACGGCCGCTTTGCTGGCCGCAAAGCGATTGTTGTCAAGACTTTTGACGAGGGCCGTGGTGACCGCAAGTTTGGCCACGCCATTGGTACGAGTTGAGCATATGCCAAACATTTTGTAAATGGTGAGCAGTGTTACTGACGTAGCTTGTGATCGATGCAGTTGCTGGCATTGACCGTTACCCACGCAAGGTGACACGCTCTATGAGCAAGGCCAAGGTGAAACAGCGCTCGAAGGTGAAACCGTTTGTCAAGTACGTCAACTACAACCACATCATGCCCACCCGCTACGTCGCCGACATTGACTTGAAGAAGGTCTTGGACGATGAGGTGCTTGGCAACCCGGAGACCCGCATTGAGTCCCGTAAGACGATCAAGAAGGTGTTTGAGGAGCGGTACGTTTGTAGTGTTTGAGTGATTGAGCTTTGTGGGCTGTGGATTTGCAGCGGAGCGTGCTGACATGTCGTGGAATTTGTGACAGTTACCTGAACCAAGGCTCGTGCAAGTCAGAGAAGAAGGCTGCTGGTGTCAGCTTCTTCTTCAAGAAGCTCCGCTTTTAAGTGCAAATCTACGATCTGCGTCCTGAAGCTGGTGGGAATCCGGGAAGTAACGTGAATACAGCCCATTCCAGTTCCGTTCCGTTCCGACGAAACAAGGCATGAATACGCTGCTATGTACCCCTGAGTTCTTTTTTCATCCGATAGCGTGGAGTGCAGCAGCCCTGCGTGAAGTTTAGCATCGTTGAATGCTAAGCCGTGCTTCCCGTCTTTTTAGCGCGCACGTTGGGTTACTGCTTGCAGCTAGTCAACGTTGAATCGCACCATCGATTTATCTCCTCCATGCACCAGGCTTGAGCTTTGCACTCGAAACCTTGTCCAGCCTTGAGCCGTGCACTCGATCGTCGTGTCAGCAACCAAGCATGCTTTAGAAAGCCCTACACTTGACACTAAAAGCCCTACAGGCCAGCCCTTCCAAAGTCCACACTCGAACGTAGTTGCCGAAAGACTACTACGGCCACAAGTTGCAGCTGTGTTGACCTTTTCATTAGAGCAGTGGTCCAAGATGTTGCACACGTGCTTCTTCAACATCATGTTTGCACCGTGACTTGCGATTTGGACGTGGAAAAGTAGGCACGTCCATAAGCGCAAACCACATCGACCCGTTCGTAAGCGCAAATATTCCATGGCTACGCAATGCACTCAGTGTGGACGTCAACAAGATGTGTCTGGCAACACGAATCATTATTTCTGAAAATGACCGCTCTAACGACTAAATGAGTGGGAAACGACTACCGATAGCTCGAAAGATGCAGTGCTGACTGCCTCTTGAGCGTCCGAAGAGTTTCTTCTCTCTAGTTATTGCATGGCTCTATCAGCCTCACGAGCCGGCAGCATCATGTTGACATTTTTACTGTTGGCCCATGAACTGCAACGTCCGATGGACCATAACTCCTCGGCCAATCTGGCACAATTCTCCGGCTTTTGACACAATTGTGCTAGGGCATTAGACACGCTGATTTGGTGTCTTTCCCCTGGACGTGAACTTGTGCGTGAGCGCTTGTCTTGCAAATGGACATTTTATCCAACTCGGGAAAATGGAATTATGGGATCTGTTCGACTTGAGGTCACGCTTGACTTGTTCTAATGGACAAGATGGGACCCGATCACTGCAACTACTGTTGAAAAGCGTCTGCACTTCCCCCGACATGATGCAGTCATTCCATAGACTTCGTTTTGAGCGATAAACAAGTGCAAACTTGCCTTTTGATCTTGATCGAGCGTCATGTCAGGCCACGCGACGAAATTTTGCAGTCTAAATAAATCTCACAAATGCGATAGAAAAGTGCTGCCTTCAATGTTACCGAGTATCACTCCGATCATCCTAGACTACTAAATACGGTCCTAAGTGACAGAACCTTGGGCTTGCGCGTAAGGCGTCCGCTGGCATAAGGCTTTTGTTTTTATTGTACGTGCGTAGAATATTCACCCACTCATGACATCCCCCTTAGGCTTCGACGAATCGGTCATTGAGGCACCTCGTCTGTTTTATATATGTACTTTACCTCCGTGTGGTCTGGCTTGTCATTCTCCGCGTTCGCTTCTGTCACGCAGACAATCGTGTCGCTCTTTTATCTAACATTGGCGAATGCCGGCAAAGCAATATCTGTAAAATGTTACCGTACACATGATTTTGTAGGGCGACGCTTCATGTTGCTGATTTCAGTACTGATGCTTCCCCACTCCTGACGCAAAGACCGACGACGCATCGAAATGTATGGAATATTGCTGGACAATCTTTTAGCGTACATGTATCGACACTAGAAGGTCGCAAAGTCTGTTTTCAAGCACACCCGAGACTGCTTCACACACATCGTAGCATACCAACGCCTCCATCGAGAGTAGAGCTGCCGCTGCTTGTGAGTATCGCGGAAGAATGTCATCATCGCAGTATTGCAGCATTTTCTGGCTCTTTAAGTCCTGCAGCACTCACGAGACGTCAATTACTGAGCGCATGCGTCATCCGTCATGACGAGACACCCAAATGGTGCCCATCAGATGGCAACTGCTGAAGTCGTACCCGAGACAAAACGGAAGCGAGCTATTTTTTTATAGCTGACGGACCGTGGTGAGGGGTAGAGGGTGTGGTGTTCTCCAGCACAGCCGTTATTGACGGTGAACCATTCTTCATCGACACCACATCTGTAGTTGCGCGTCACGTTCTCACGTTGGAAAAATCGGTCGTTTATTCTCATCCACGAGTCTTATAGACAGCAAAGTGCTAGTTGGCTATCTCCATGCCCTCGCACTTGCTATCTACGGACGACGCTTGTCAATGTTCTACGAGCGTTTATTCACTGCGCTATGAATAACGACAGCGCTGAAGTTGTAATGTCAGTCTTTGCACTTCCAATTAGAGGGTTTATTGACGTAAAGGGACGCATGTAAGATGGTGTCTAGTCTCGGTAATCGTTCCTAGTTCGAGCAAAAGTTGTGGCCTAGAACACACACCCGAATACGTGACGGAGCTGTTCGTCGGAACGGCAAATGACGAAAAACAGTCATTGACACCGTTTACGAGCAAAGTACACAACTTCACTTCGAGCAATTGTAAAAGCTAGAGAGACCGGACTTCACGAGCAAGTCGACACAACGGAACCTAGAGCAAACGACAAATGACGCCACTTGCAATCACACTCACTCAGCTGCTCTATGTCTTGTGAGCTTTTCGCTCGCTCGACATCCACTCACTAAACTTGAAAGCCCGTTCGCATTGACGTCACCCATCTGCGTCCGTAAAGGGCCCACCACATGTCTTTTATACCTACAGCTGCCCCAGCAGGGCAACAGCTAGCGAAAATCGTGCTGGTCACGTTAGCGCGCAATCGCCAATTGGAGGTCATTTCTCTGTCCATCGCCTGGGCGGAATTGACTTGCAAGTGGTTTCTACCGAAAATGGGGTCAGGCTCTTCATACGAACATCAAGACAGCGGTCTGACTTCACCTGATCCGGTCGGTAACAGACCACCCTCTCGTTCAGAAAGTGGCCAGTCCGCAGCGTGAGTAGCACCGCGAACAACCGGACGACCGCAAGTCGAGCGACATCGTCTCTTTCGATACAATGCGACCACGAACAACAGAGACTTTCGACTTTCGACTGGACTCTCTCTCTTGACATCCCACGTGTTTTCCACTCGATTTCACTACCTGCTGGCACAAGCCGGAAAAGACGGGCTCCGTCTAGTGTATGAGTGAGTGTGCTGGTGTGAGAGAGCAGTACTCGCCCAAAAGCTACAACTATCTCTATTTATCTCTCTTTCTCGCCTGTCAAAACCATCAACAAGTGACTGACTGACTGACTGACCGACCGAACGTCTTCGAGTCGTACTGCTGCTGCTGTCTCTGCGAGAGAGTGCAATTTATTGCCTTCGCCCAAGCGTGAAGAAAGCCGTCTTCTTTTTCATCGAGTATGGTCAACTTCGCCATGGACAGTAGCAACGTGCTCGACGTGCCTCCGGACTCGTCCGCTCACCACCAGCAGCAGCACCAGTTAATGAACTATAGCGTCAATGAAGACAGTAATCGCAATGACGGCAAGTTCTTTACACTCAGTAGCACAAGCGGCACCAGCATGACCGGTAAAGCGTCTCAAGTTGCCACGCCGTTTGTCTACGGGACGCCAGTGGACAAGAACTACAAGACGTGGCCGTTCGTCACAGTCGCTGCGTGTGCAGCAATGGTGCTTTTTACCATGATCTACCACGAGTTACCAGAGTACCGGACGGGGTTACGCTACCAGCTCTATGCTGCATTTGGCTCACAAGAGGTCGAGGGGCAATGGGTTGGTGGACGGCGTGAAGTGGTCGAGTTCCTGGTCAATTACGTCCTGATTGGACTGCCGTTCATGATTGGCGGCATGGCTCTTGCTCTAGGCAATGCCTTGCCACCTGTACCCACAGGAGCTCATCGTACAGCTATGCGGTTTTTGAAGCGCAAGATGCTCGTTGGCAGCGTCAACATGTCGTACGCTGAGTCCATGTGCACGCTCGTGTTTCTAGGTTTGAACGCCATTTGGTTTGCTGCGGTCTTGTCACGGAATTACAGGCTTCTTGCCAAGGCGAAAGTGACGGATGGAGCGTCCGTCTTCCGACTCGTGGGGACAGTGCTTGGCTTCAATGCCGTGCTCTGTTTCTCGCTGCTGCTTATCCCTGCAACGCGGAATTCCTTCTGGATGCTTTCGATGGGGATCGACTACTCCCATGCGATCAAGTACCATCGCTGGATCGGGTTCTTTACTGTTGTCGTCGTGATGCTGCATGCGATCCCGCACTATTACGTGTGGATCAAAAGCGGTACGTTCATCGAGTCGGCATTTCCTTGCATGGACTGTGACTTTGCCACGGTCGGTAAGAGGCGTTTCGAGAACTTTTGCGGTCAATTAGCACTGCTCAGCTGTGTCATCATTGGCGTGACGTCGCTTGGCCCGATCCGCCGCAGGTACTATGCAGTGTTCTACTACTGCCACCACCTCTTCATCTTCGTGATTTTCTTCGGAGCACTGCACTTTTCACGCCTTGTCATCTGGATGTACCCGGCAGTCTGTCTCTATGTCATGCACCGCATCTTGGCTCGAAGCCAAAGTCGCATGCCATGTGAGGTTGTGGATCTTGAAGCTATTCCTGGTGAGATCACGCGGTTGGTGTTCCGCCGTTCCCCAGGCAAGTCAGGTCATTACCATGCTGGCCAGTTTGTTTACCTGCGGATTCCACTCCTGTCGCATACGCAGTGGCATCCGTTCAGTATCAGCTCGTCCCCGATCGAGTACGAGGACACGTTTACCGTGCACGTAAAGTGCGTGGGCAATTGGACCAAGTCATTGTACGCTGTTGCTATCCAGGCACGTGAAGAACGGAAGATGCCGCTTGTGTACGTCGATGGCTTTTACGGCAAGATGTCGGACGACTTTCAGCACTACCCTGCTCTCGTGTTTGTAGCTGGCGGGATCGGTGCTACACCGATCATTAGCATTATGGGCAAGATCCTGGATTGTATGCGCAACAACGACCCAAACATGGAGTTCACGCAGGTTTACTTCCACTGGACGTCTCGTGAACTCGGCATTTTCCACGAATTTGAGCCCTTGCTGGACGCTATCGAGCAGTACGATCCAAACCATGTCAAGGTCAAAGTCTGTCTCTACTTCACTGGTGACCAGCATCTAGGTCGTGTGGACGTTCCCAACGGAATTGCACTGAAGCCTATGGACGACACTAGCATGGTCCCCACGCGGCCATTCTTCCAGTCATCCCGGTCAGTGCCCCGTCAGATGTTGCTGTTTTTCGTGACGTTCACGTGCAGCTTCTGGTGTCTGTTTCTCATTCGGTATGACTACCCGATTCTGGGTCCTCTGCGCGTCAACCAGCACCTGTGGCCGATCCAACGCGTGGTTGAAGTCCTCATTATGATTGCAGGGGCTAGTGTCGGCTGGCTCGTGGTCTCCACGGAGCCAACCCCTCGATCAATGAGCCGGTTGGAAAAGTCACGGTTGATGCCAACAATCGGCAGCTACGCGCCTGGCGAGACGATGACACATTTTAACCGCTCGTCCGAGTTCTCGCGCTCGCACTTGACGGACGGACAGGAACTCGTGTTCCGCCACCCTGTCCATCGCTTGCGACTGGACGTGAAGCAGCTCTTTAACGAGGTGGTTCAGGAACAAGCTTACAACTTTGTGATCAATATTACCGGCATCGGGACGTGGGTATCAGGTCCATCGGGTCTCATCCGATCCGTGGAGATCGAAGCCTCCAACTTCGCAGGCATCTTCGATGTGCATTATGAGCAGTTTGAGATGTAGAACGCATGCAAGAACTTGCCTAATAGTTTCGTGTGTGTTCTGTATGCGGTAAACAATGTTTGTGCCGAGAAAACATTCATCAATGGCGTGAATAGCTTCGTAGTTTCTTCACCAAGCCTTTGTACCCACCCAAAGGGAATGCAAGGCGTACCACAACCAGCGAAATAAGCAAAAGAGCTCCATAGCAAACACGAGGACGTGGTCACAATCCCTCTTCGTTGTCATTTAACTACCAAAGCTGTTTGAAAACGTGCGAGTTTTTCCAAACAATTTTCCTGCACGTTCTTAAACGCGGCTCGGATACAGCATGACACGCACGCTCTTGCTCATCGCCTCAGCTGGCAAGTTCTTGGCAAACTTCGCACGCACAACGCCATTGCTGCCGTGAGCACGCACGACCTTGCCCCATATGACACGGAATTGCGTGCCATTCTTCAACGACTTGGCCTTGTAGATGTACGCAATCTTCTTGCCCAAGTAAAAGTCCACATCCTTCTTGTCCGTCAAGCCCTGGATCTTCACCAGTGCCGTGTGCGAGTACTGGTTGCGCAGCCCGCGCTTGTAGCCTAGGAACACACCCTTGACGTAGAGACGAGTAGGTTGACCAGCAGAAGCGACCATTTTAGCAAAGTTCTGACCACAGACAAGAGAGCATTAGAGAACCGTGTGAGTACAGAAGCCATTGCGATACACCTCCAGTCACTAGCGATGGCTCGAGCCTCTCGCTGTCTCTCTCTCTCTCCTACAGTGATACTCGAAACGAGTGTTGAAACACGCTCATTACGGTGTACGAAACAGCGCTGCACTGGGTTTAGAGCTTTGTATTGCTATGGTCATTGACTGGACTAAGTCGGATAGAGACGAGAGAAGGTCTTGATGCAATCGCGCCAACAGGATCGATCTACGGGATTTACACGTACCAGTCGGATGAATTGAACGATCGAGGGACTGAAGGTATGGGCGGCGTCACAGCACGAAAAGTGTGGCTGGACCTCAATTGGTTGGCGGCCAATCGCTCAAGGGTGCTGACCTCTAGAAACGTATATTAAGTTCTACCCGTCTAACACGATACGTGCAACAGCGCATGCAACGTCGTCCGATTATAAGCTGGTAGAGGAATTGACGGCAAGGCACCGATCTTACACATTGTAGGACAAGACGTGGCTTAATGCCGAAAATATGCGCGGCAGACACACTATGTTCACGCAGACACCTCTAAATTTATACGAAAGTCGTCACTGGATCTGTATTCTGTTCGCTCGCTCGCTTGATGCTGTCACTCTATTATACCGCTCGATCACGATGTCGCGCTATTTTTCTTGGCAAAAAACGTAGGAGCTAATTCCACGAGCCACTCTTTCTCAATCACGAGCACGGATCGAATGTAGTGCTTGCTCGTAAACACCAGTTCATTGTAGACGACGCACTTGGGCGGTGGATTGCGCATGAATAACGACGACGAAGGATGCACCTTGACAATATCGGACGGGCCACAGATTGTCTTGTACGCAGTCTTGGAACCACTTAAACCCTCGGCGACAGACCGCATGGCTGTGTTCAGGAAAAAACCCGCGACGATACTCTTGCGCAACGGGTCAACGTCCGGAAAACTCGAGTCAATCGGCAGCTCGAGCTTCTCCAGGTACGTCTTCAGCTGCAGTCGAACGCTCTCCACACGAGTCATAGCGCGGTGATTCATGTAGTGGTCCCGACACCACTTGGTGCGCTGCTTTGGTCCACACTGGATGTACCCATTAAAGACATTGAGCAACGTGATCTGGTCGCCTTCGTGCGCAATGAACCGTGCACGGGACTGCGCTGCTTCGGCTTTCTTGTCACGAGGAGAGTAGAAGATGGACTCGACAGAGAGCATGGCCACGACACTCAACGCTTCTTCCGCACATCCCAACTCGGTCGCCTTCAACAGCATTACCGCATACATGGGCTCCACGGGCAAACCAGCCATCTGTCGGCCGCGCGTGGTCAACTTGCCCTTGTTATCAAGTGCTTCCAACGCGTACAACTTTTCATGCGCTTTAATCATCGATGACTTGAGTGGTTTCTCGATAAAGTCGAAACCCAAGACGTCGTCGATCCCCATGCATTTCAGCTGCAACACCACGACCTCTAGACTCACACGCTGGATGTCCGGGATAGATCGCTCTGGGAGCTGCTCGAATATCTCCTCTGGAAACAAACGGTAGCAGATGCCAGGCGCCTCCCGACCTGCACGACCTGTGCGTTGCCAAGCTTGTGCTTTCGACACTGACTCCGTCTGCAGCATCTCCATCCCGCTCGACGCCACAAACGAGCGCTGTTTCACAAGCCCCGTGTCCACGACATGGCGCACACCGTTGATTGTAATCGAAGTCTCGGCAATATTCGTGGCAAGGATGACCTTGCGTACTCCATCAGGTGCAGGTTCAAACACCTTCATCTGCTGCTCACGCGGCATGGCAGCAAATATCGGACACACCATGAGCTTCAGTACATCAGGTGGTAACGACCGAGCATACTCTTCCAGTAGCGTCTCGAGCGTCTCAATATCTTCCTGACCTGTCAGGAACACCAGGATACTGCCATTCACCATCTTCTCCTGCAAGTGGATCTGCAACACAGCCACTAACGCTGAGTCGAGGTAGTCCGGCTGCGTCTTTGCTGTATAAAACACATCGACCTGGAACATCCGTCCAGGAATTTGAAGCACCGAGGGCTTGAAGGATTCAAAAAAGGTCCGAAATAGTGCCACGTCCAGCGTAGCAGACATGACAACGACCTTGAGGTCCTTGCGTTTGACCATCGCACGCTTCACGATCCCAAACAAAATGTCCGTCTGCAACGTCCGTTCATGAGCTTCGTCCAGCACGATAACCGAGTACCTCTCGAGCGTTGGCGAGAGCAGCGCTTCTCGCACCAACATCCCGTCCGTCATGAACTTGAGTCGTGTGTTCGTGGACGTTGTATCATCGAATCGAACGCAGTAGCCAACACTGCCGCCCAGAGGACCTCGATTCGCCTCCTCGCACACGCGTTGGGCCACTGTAATCGCTGCCACGCGACGTGGTTGCGTGATGGCTACTCGGACATGAACCCGGTCATCTTCCCATATATACTGCGGGATCTGCGTCGTCTTGCCACTTCCCGTTTCGCCCACGAGAATGGTCACTTGATTGCTCTTGACAGCCTCGATGATTGTGTTGCGGTGCGCGTAAATAGGGAGCCGCTGACGGGTGCGCTGCAATTCGGCAACCGCTGGATTGACGTGAAGTTGCTGCTGTTGCTCGTGGCGCTTCTTCTGGTGTTTATAGCTCAGACCTGACGCCTGAATTGGGCGCTGCCGGGGAGCTCCAGAGCCGTAGCTGGAATTGGTCATGATGACCAGCGGTTTGATGAGCTGGACGGACCGATCGACGATTTGGCTGGGTGTGTGAAAAAGTCGGGTCGTCCACGTAAAATTGGTTGAATTACCAGCGTTTAAACTGATTATTCTAGCGTTTCAGCTGCTCAAAGAGCAGTCGAACGGCTCGAAGAAGCGGCAAAACGGAGGCTCCGATTACATTCGGCCTTTGCGACCCATCGTGTGTAGATGCGACTTGGATGGTGCGCTGACAACATATGACGACGTTAGTCGGTCCGTGTCGCATCAACATATCGATATAGTGACATCCATTGGGCATGAAATGGTGAATGACGTACCCTCGTCGACTTGCAGAGTCTGCGTAATGACTAAAATCGTCGCCTTGACGAAAGTTCGTGCTGCCAGATGCAAAGCCCTTGCCACGCTCACCTGCGCGAGCTTCCATCTTGGCGCGAATGCCATCTTCATTCGTCCGTTCTTCTTGTTCTTGTTTATCCGCCAAACTGGGCCGGCAAGTAGCAGCGCGTTAGGTACAGTCCGACTACACGCAGCAGCTTTTTGTTGAAATTATAGCGCATACCTGAGAATTGTATCGATCTTCCCGTACATCTCCGCCGACCGCTTTTTCCAGCTAGTGAGCTTCTCGATCATCTCGTCCACACCTTCGTCATGCGTATCGCGTCCGACAGCATACTTGACAACAAAGCAGCGTAACTTCTGGTCCAGCTTGCCTTGAATCAACCCCTGGCAGCGGCCGCCCGACAATAACAAAAAACGTATGAACAACAACACAGTAACCACCTGGAAAAACAAGACCTCCCGATAGCCCAAAACGAACAAACAGCGTATCCCGTACCGAGTAAATGGTGTCAATGAGGATGTCTTCCACTTCGCGCACCGTCGACACGTCCAGCTCTTCCATCAGCGTGTCGTACGGAATGTTCTGACCAAACAGCAGAACACAGCAGCAACCACCATCAGGCCCCAACTGCATCAATCATCACATCCTTGAGACCACCGGTTCTGCACTACCTTGAACCGATGAGCTAGCAGCACAGCCGTGAGTTTCCTCAGTTTCTTCACCTGCAGCGACGTAAGTTCCGGCAGCTCGTGCTTGCGAGCTAAGACACAGAGTATACCCAAGTATACACACCCTCGACGAGTAAATTTCGGCCATTGACAAAAATTCTTTCTACTACACGCCCATCGATCGATCGATATGTATATATTTCACCTACCCACATAGTCAGTATACGTCCCAAAGCAAAAGATGCGCAGCAGCTCGTAGTGCTCCTTGTACTCGGAATCGCGCAGCGCCTCCACGTTGGGCATGTCCAGCAGTTCACGGAACACGAAAAGCTTCTTGTTGCTCAGCACCTGCTGGATCAGTGCCACACAGGCGCGTCCGCGTGCGTTCTTGGCCAGCAGCGTAAACTGCTCGAGACTTGATGCTCCTGCCGTATCAAACGCCATCGCTCCAGAAGTGTCAAGTAGAAGTGTAATTTATACCGTCCAGTGTAATTTATACCGTGTAGTGTAATGTATGACGCCTTTAGATTACCGCATGACGGCCAGCTTTGAAGCTGACAACATGGTGTGGTGTACACTATGGTGCATACAAACAATGACGACAGAGCTCGAGGCCAACATCCAGCAGGCGCTGCCGAGCGCGCTCAAGATGGCGCTGTACGCGTCCAAGAAGCAGCAGCTGGAGCTGCGCAAGCACACGATTGAAGGCATCGAGTCTCTGTGCAATAATGCCAAGTTCGTGAAGGAACTGAACGAGCAGGAGCTTCTGCAACAGCTGGACGGGACGGCCAAAGAGTTTGCGGTATTGGAGACGCAGCTGACGCGGTATAGAACGGAGCTGGAGAAGCTGGATCCGCTCGTACAGAGTGGGAAACTAGACAAGAAGAAGATGGACAAGATGCTCAAGGACTCGCTGGCGACGCCGAAGGTCAATGCGACGAAGCACGACTTTTACAAGAAGTTCTGCGACAGCGCAGGGGTACGACGTTGAGATTTGGAGTAGCTGATAGCCATTGACTGTTGATTGTGACTACAAAGTGGTGTGTTTTGTGTGTGTAATGCTGGCGCTTGGTTGGTGGTAGATTGAGCTCGCGATGGACGAAAACGATGACATGGCCATTCAGGAGAGTGAGAGCAGGAGGAGTACCATCTGTCCAGTCACTCAGGGCGAGATGGAGGATCCACTACGAAAGTGCGTTTCTAATACGATGATACAGAGTGGGTTGCTGGAAGTGATTGAGGTGTATTGTTGCTCTTGCTCTTGTTGTTGTTGTGTAGCCCGAGTTGTGGTCACACGTACTCCAAGAAAGGCATTCAAGCCCACTTGCAACGCAGCAAGAAGTGTCCTGTCGCAGGTGCATGCCGTGGCCCGTTTGAGAAGTTGTTTGAATGAGGTATCAGTACTGACGATATGTACAGGCTGTCCTCAGAATCTGTCGCTCAACAATTTGGAACGCGATGTCGAGATGGAGGTCATTATCGCACGCAGGTATAGAATGATGTCTACTTTTGGACTTGCTTTTCCCTGGCTCATACTATGTTGTGTCGCTATCGTCGCGAATGTAGTCACCCCATGTCAGAGCAACAACGGTCACAAGACTTTGCCGCGGTGGATCAGGACGAAAATGACGAAGAAGAATATCTCGTTGAGTAGGCTAGGGGTTAGAGCAGTATGCGTGGGAAATTCGCCGACAAAAGATTAGACCTATATGTAATCTAACGTGGGCCGCGCTTCGCAGCAAGATGCCACAGCCATATAGCTCACCTGGACGCTAGAAATGGCCAAGGCTGAAGGTTAGCCATGTGCGGATTGTACAAGGTTTCATCAACGCATGTTCGCTCGACTGAAGCGATAATAGTCTCGAAATGATACATAACAGCGTTACATCGAGTGGCACTACAAGTGTCGCTACATTTGATCGTTTTAACGTCGAAAGTATGTTGCACGGGGAGGGAAGTTAGCACAACAACTCTCCTAATCTCGAAATTGAGTGTATACATTTGTGTTCTCTAAACCAATATCTGGAACGTCATAAATGTACCACAACAATCGAGCTACTGCGACCGAATGCATTTCTATCGATCCCGTCTGAGAGGATCTTTATTTTTGTGGCCTAATGTTCAAAGAGTTGAGCAAGATGGGTGCTAAGCCGGATGCAAAGAAGGATCAACTAGAGCACTGAAAATCTTCGTTTGCATCATGACGAAGAGATGTGAGCGCTATACCACCTACGCTACCGAATGGATTTGTAATTTACCGCAACAGTACAAATTTATTCGGATCGGAGCAATGTCAGTGATGGATTGCACTCTTGTCGTTCGTAGGTCACTCGCTATTGCACCGGAAGTGACAAAGAAGTTCGTAGGTCGTAGACAGTTAGACTTATGCTGGCCAGATGTGATATTATACAACATGACTGACTGGGGTAAGCATACATCTTGGAGTCGAATCTCGAAGTGAAGACTTCTTGTTGATTTTAGTGAGACATTTGTGATTGCCAGGATGTCAGCCTATTGAGTGATGTTACCATAAGCTGCCAGACACGAAGTAAGTGCTTGCGCTCTTTTGCCAATACGACGCTGGACACGCCACTCCCTTCGAATCGCATCATGACCAAGCGGTTTATGCCATGTACCTCCGAGCAACCTTGGGCTGCTTCATCATGCTCGTGTGCTCATGAAGCTTTAAAAACATCAGGTATCGCCTACAAGAAGCGCGAAAGCGTCCGTCAGAGACACTGTCTTGTGTGTTTTGATGGCAATTCCTGGCTGCAAGCGCTCGTTGGGTATCATCTACGCGAAGTACATGGGCTAAAGCGGAGGTGCTATCATACAAATGCAAATTTCTATGGGAAAGTTACTGACTATGAGAGAGTAGTTGTGGTGCGTGGAAAAGTGCTCAGCAACCAGAGGGATAGCTGTTCCACGACTAAACGACAGTATTTAACGGTAGCAATGGCTAATACGATGTAGACCATGGCCAGAATTGCTTGCACCCTTTCCAGCTCAAATGCGCACGATCGTATCTATCTGCTCACGGATTGAATACAGGACTATGTTTTCTACCGACAATACTAGCAGCCTCCAAGCGATATAGCAGCCATTTAGATTGTATCGACTTTACTGCTGTTGACAGTTGATGCATGCAACGTGAGACAGACCGATACAAGCAGGGCAAGGAGTACTTGGATTGATCCGGACAAAGCCAACTATGCCATCAAGCTATTGCTGTTAAGTTCAACCTGCACGATCGCTCTCATTTTGTCGATATTGCTCCGTTTCATATCGAATTAGAAAGCGTCACTCGTGTCTGTCTTTACGTAATGGCATCTTTGCCGACACGGCGCTGTCCTGTTACTGGCTGTGCGCTGCGTTCCACTCCACGACCTTCGGGTGCTTCAGTACCTGGTCGTACACACGGTACACGTTTGGATACGAGTCTCGCATGGTGCTCATCATTTTCGGCAGGTTCATCGTAAAGTCCACCAGGACAGAGTAGATTGCAACATCTACCACAGAGAGATTCGGGCCAGCCGCATAGGGACCCTTGTTCTTAGCAATGCGCTTCTCCAAGAAACCCAGTGTCTTGGGCACGACAGTCGCCAGTTTAGCGCGCAGCTTTTCCTTCTTCTCCATGTTCTTCTCACGGTGCGAGGCACCCCATAGCGGGTTGTTAAACATCTCTTCCATGATTGATAGCAGCTCGTCGATCCGATAAGCAGCGATCGGGTCAGTCATGGGGTACAGTCCCGACATGGTGCCAGCATAGCGAAGGATCGCCAGCGCCTGTGACATCATCTCACCGTTCACTTCTAGCACTGGAAACTGGTTGAACGGCAGCGACGGCTTGCGCGCCAACATCTCTTCGAGTGGGACGCGCTCGTCTTCAAACTCAACGTCTCCGATATAAAAGACCAGACGGATTGGCTCGCCACGACCTTGAGCGGGAAAGTACGTGAGCTTCAGCTTGGGTGCATTGTGCTCGAGCCGGTACCACTCTTGGACTTTCGGGTGGTTCGCAACCTTGTCGTGCATCTCGCTGAGCAACTGGTAGCTACTCAACACCGTCGTAGGGATAAAGTCGATGACGCCAGACCGGAGCGACTTGATCCAAACGTAGATGGCTACTTCGTGCACATAGATGCGGTCCGACTGGAAAAAGGGCGTCTGCTTCATTTTCTGCAGACGAGCCTCCAAGAGTCCAGCGTAGCGAGGGAGCGTGACGGTCGTCAGCTCTTCCTGCATGGCTTTTTTCTTGGCCACGTCCGACTCGTAAAACGATTGCACCATCCGGGTTTCAATCTCGCTCATCACACACAGTACCTCGTCGATCTTAAGCGCCAGCGCGGGTCTCGTGGAGGGGTACAGTCCGCTCAAGCGGCCAGCGTACCGCATCATAGCGTACGATTGGGTCATGACATCGCCGTCGATCTCGAGCGTGGGTACTTGACCCAACGGGAAAGTGTCCTTCGTGGCCATGAACTGTTCACGGGTGATGCGCTTGTCTTCAAAGGGGATGCCCCAATGTAGAAAACCAGACGCGCGACCTCGGCACGGCCAGCAGCAGAAAAATACGTGAGCTTGATCGATGGGAAGGTGCTCATGGCGAAGATGGGCGTTGAAGCAAATTGGGAACTGAGGATACGAAAGTATCCGTTAACGGCATATTACAACATGTCACCGTTGTTTTTGACCTGGATGACGTCACCAGGTGGTCGGTTCGAATGATACCGAAGCCATTACGTCGGACACGCCAAAAGATCGATATCGTTCGTTCGTTCGATCGATCGATCGATAGAAGATTTCCAGAACGTTAGTACAACGTCGAACATCCACAGAGACACACTAAACGTTCTTTATTAACCGAGACAAAGCGGCCGAAACCCGCCAAAGCCGATTCTTGAAGTGCGGACAACGCCCAGCACACCCATAACGAGGCCACTGATTCCAATGAAACAAGCGACGAAGAAGATTACGAGCGCCGATTTGCGGTACTTCTTGACAAGATACGACATACCCAGCTGCCCAACGAGACCGGCGGCAAACCCGATGGCGCCATGCCATAACGCGTGGTCCACTGACAACGAGCCCAGAATGATAAACTGGATCGTGGTGGCAGAAGACGTAAACAGGATCATCGACGACGACGTTGCCGAGGACACTTGTGGTAGCAGTCCCATTTCAATCAGCAATGGGCCTTTTACCATGCCGCCTCCAATGCCCAGCAGGCCAGCAGCTATGCCAGCGGCAGTGCACAGCGCAGGGTACTTAATCGCTGCTTGTTTTGTCCAGACCATGTCGCCTTTGGCATATGTGTAGTCGGAAGCCTGCAGCATTGTGTGAAACCGGCTGATCTTCATACCAAAGTAGATCGTCACGCTTACGAAGAATGGGAACGAAGCAATTGTGAGTAGCCAGTAAGCAGCGCTGCCGCATGACAACCCGATAACGCTAGGCGTATCGTGTCCGCCTTTGGCCATAGAAAACAGTACAAGTCCGATCCACGTCAGGAACAGCACGCCCATATCTGCCAGTGGGACAGCGCGTCGCGCTTTGGCGATTTCTCTCACCGAGACAAACTTCACTGCCCGATTGTCCTGGAGCCCCCACGTCATTGCTGGTCGATTTTCATCACCGTCGCTGCTCGCTTCTTCATCTTCCGTGCTCGCGTCCGTGCTATTTGAAAAGCTGTCATGTTCCTCACGACAGCTTCTTGCCGTCACGATCTTCAGCTGAAATTCTGCCCTGTCCGGCGACTTGTATGTCTTCCACTTCAAGTACGCGCGTGCGGTCACTTGGAACTGCCTGAAATTCGACTCATACGGCAGTAAGCGCCAGTACGCTACAATGTCTGCCACGACCTTGCGGTCCACGTCCGCCTCTTCTTTCCACACTTTCTTGCCCTTATTGTAGGTACGACAGGCCGTTTTGGCCAAAAGCCAGACAATACAAATCGTAATGAGCCATTCCGGAAAGACCGTGTTTATATGGACCCCGATGATCGTGCCAGCCAACGTCAAAGGCTCCATGAGCAGGACTGTCTCATAATCAATCAGCGGACGGCTGTGCACCAATGGATGACGCTTCCGAACGTTGACCAAAAAGCTGGCAATCGCGCCACCAAAGATTGTGGCCTTAGACAGTGGCACTGCCTCGTGGGACGACAGGCTCATCAGTAGAGTGTAGACAGGCACGAGGAGCCCACCACCACCCAATCCAGACCCAGCAGCTAAGACAGTTGCTACGAAACCACCGACGGAGCCGGCGATATCCGCTGGAGATAGAGGAAACAGCGTATCGGTCACACAGATACCGCCACGGCACGTATTGTGCTCTAGACCCTTTGCCAGGCATTCAGGAGACGCTTCGCATGTCACGTTTGGCTCGATGTTCAGCACCAATGAGTCGTTGGCATCAAGTGCTAGTGCAGAGGTGCAGATGTACAAGCATATTGTATGAAGCAGCACTGTGGAGCATGAGGTCATGACTGATTTGTGGGAACGGATGTGACAGGTGGTGCGTGCATTCTGACATGCAGTTATGACTGGTGGAGGGTTACATGGCTCGTAGATACTCTCACAAGTTATATATAGGCACACACCGTGTCACACTTGTTTGTATGTCTTGATGCTGTCAATCATAATCCGTCTGGTGATTTTGAGCAACGCTTTGTCAAATCGACTACTGAGTATGTGTTTTCAAATAAAAAAACAGACCTTTTAAGCAGAAACGGCCACCCTTTGTGTTGTTTTGTGTCCAGCCAAATCACCCGTGTGAATTGTTTAAGACCCCAGTAAACTGTGGTAGTAGACATTGGAATTGCCGTAATTGTAGATCTTAGTCATTTCTCTCAGTTATCCCCCCTTTACTTGATCTCTATGCAGTACTCTTTAAGCTAGAAACTAACTAACACGTGTGTTGATGTGTATCCAATCAAATCACCAATGTGGAACAGTTATTTAGTAACTGGTGGTTTACAGATAAACACCTAAATTTGTAGACATCAGCCATTTTTCTCTATCATATCCATTTTGCTTGATCTTCATAAAATTGGTCCCCCAAATTTGTACTTGTCTCTTATGATTTAAATCACCCATTTTCAAGCCCATTCATTTCACTTCAGTCGATGACCGATGTCTCGGTCATACACCCCCGCCGCGGACCACGACCAAGTTCTCCAAGCACTCGAAGTGATTGAACAGTGAGCAGCCGACCGCCAAGAAGCGCTGCGCTACTTTCCGCGATTGCCACCATGCTAGACACCATGGAAAGCTCTCTATCGCTGGTTCACGCCCGCTTCTTTAATCACGGCGGTGCAGACGTAAATCTGCCATGACGAAATCCTCACTGCAAATATTTGATAATCTCTGGTCAACTGTGGTCGGACACATGACGCGTAATTGGAATGTTGGACGTGGCGAGTGCTCTCAACTTGTAGCCAAGGACGTATTCTTCATGATGCTCCTCGTGTTGAAGAATGGCGGGATGTGGTGTAACGGGGTGAATCGTTACATAACAATTTATAAGAAATTGTTAATAGAATATAACTATAAGAGTTATATTCTCAGAATATTGTCAAAAGGATAAATATTCTGTAGCACTTACGAGTAGTTCCTAATTGGTTGATATAGGCCATTATAACAACCAACGAATACGCGCCACGACAGACGCACGCAATGAGTGGTGAGCAGATAGTTGATTTACACATTTGTATTTATACATAGTTAGATGAAGATAAATAGTGATTTATTGCATACATTAACTATTATAAATACAGTTCTACTTTTTACTTTAAGCAAGTACTCGCTTCTTCTTACCGCCTTCCTCTGCACGTACGAGTGTACGTGAAGTTCCGAGGCACCGCCTTATTCTGTCATCAGAATAAGTAGCTTGTACTGTTACCAGTACAAGCTTCAGGGTGCCCCGTTACACCTGGTAGCACTTCGTAGTCCGTCCAAGGACCACGTTCACATCTAACATGAATATGTTGGATGATGAAGATGACCAAAGCTTTAACGCTACGCGTGACGGCTACTCCCATGTGAGCGATGTCGAATGGGATGCGGTTGAACGGATGGGTTCAACCATGGGCATCCATGCTGTTAGCGTCATGCTAGAGGCTCTCAATAGGGATGCCCAACATGCTACTATCGCCAAGTTCATTCAAAATGAACTTGACGCCGAACGCGAGAAAGTAGCCTTGCTTCACCAACAAGGTTCTCAACAAGCAGAGTCGTTGAGAGAACAGGGTGCTCAACAGTTTGAACTGTTGAGACAGCAACAGGCTGCTGCTGGTGGGTCGATGCACTCGCGTCGACCCGAAACCTTAAAGATTGACATCTCCAAGTATAGGGGAGTCGAAGAGGGCTCTCTCTTGAGATGGTTCGTCGAATTGGATGACGCCATAAGGGCGCGTCGCATCGACGATGGGGAAATGCAAGTTGCATTTGCCCAGTCAAAGCTGGCAGGACGTGCCAAGACTTGGGCACTGGGGCTCAAGTTGCACGACCCATATGCGTTTGGGTCGTTGGAAGGCTTCAAGTCGCGGCTCGGACAAACGTTTAAACCGCCTAGAGCTGAGTTCAGAACTCGAACCGAACTTTTGAAGCTCAAGCAGGGTAAGCGTGATGTGCACGCTTACGCGCAACATATACGACATCTTACGAGTTGTATAAGTTCCAATCCGGTGGATGAACACACGCTGGTTTCGGTGTTCATGCAGGGTCTTGCGGATGGTCCCGTCAAGACTCACCTGTTCCGACTTGAACTAGATTCACTAGAACAAGCCATTTTCATTGCGGAACAGGAAGACTTCAGTCTGAGACAGGCTCGCGCCAGATCGACATCGTATCGTCAACCGAGACGATATGACAGCGGAGGTCCAGAGCCGATGGAACTTTGTTAGATAGAGAGCGAGAAGGCTCGCTCTACAGACTACAAGAAGTTGCAGAGATGCAACAGATGTCAAAAGACAGGACACTACGCTTACGAGTGTAGTGCCCCTCGTCCAGTGTCTCGCAACACTGGGCGTAGTGACCGTCCACCCATGAGAAAGGGCAGGGACGAGGGTCCGCTGTTGGTGTAAAGACGCAACAACGGGATGGACCGTCAAAAAACGGACAGGATCAGTAGGTGCGGAGCACCCTACTGGTCCAGCAACGTCAAGAGAATTTGTAGGCCTCTTGATGAAGGTTGCTCCCAACACACAAACGTTGTGCGTTGCTGCTCTAGGTAATGAGATCTCACTCATTACCTTGAAACTCGAATTGACGAATAAGTTGTTCCTTCGAGCTCTAGTCGATTGTGGGGCGTCCAACAATTCTGTGCGACGCCAATCGCTAGAAGATGGTCATTTTAAGTTCAGTGAATGTGACACACCTCCTACGAGGATGACGGTACGTCTTGCGACAGGCGCATCCGTAACCGTCATGAAGCGTATAGTGAAGATCCACTATACGCTAGAAGATACCCAATATGATGATGACTTTATCGTATTGGATTTGGATGACAAATTTGATGTCATCCTTGGAATACCGTGGCTCAGAAGGTACGGATCACGAGTAAACTGGCAACATCGAACAGTAACGATGCCTGCCGCTTGTTCATCAGATCGCCATCTGATGAACGTTTGAAGTGTCCACAAGCGTGTGGATGTACTACGAGTGAGTGCTATGGCCTCACTTGTGGTACGGTCGTTAGTACGACTGCACAAAACCTTAGTGTACCAAACGGTTACACTTCGGAGCAAAGTTCCGGCGGCTGTGAGGGAACACAGGCTGCGCCGAAGGTTCACCACTCGAATAAGTCGGGTGGACAGGGACAACGATGTATCCCTAGCGGGGAACATCTAGAAGAGAAACGATCGATCGCTCAGGTTAAGCGAAACGATAATCCTATATCGACTGGAGAGTCTTTCGTAGAGGATCTCGCTGTGGTTGCACAACCACAGATAGAGGAAGTTAAGGGAATAAGTCCCGATATTACAAATACGGCGGAAATAAGTTCCCCGAAACCCGCGGGAATAAGTCCCCGGGAAGCCGAAGGAATAAGTCCTTCGAGTCCTGAGGGAATAAGTCCCCAGGAAATGACAGAGACATTGAATGTCATAGTCAATAACGGATCAAGTGTAGGCGCTTATACGCTTGATCTGATTGCGCCTCCGAAGTTGACTTCGGAGATCACTCAGTTGCCAACGCTCGAACATAAAAGGTTCTTGCGTGATCTGCGTCGTGGCAAAGTCAAGCAGATCTACGTACTCGTCGCTGACGACAACTGTGTAACCGACATAAGGTCAGCAACAGTGTTTACTGAGAACGAGAGAGTTCTCAGTAGTTCATCTATGGACGAGAGTGTCCTAGATGAAAAGACACGAATTGAGCGATATGAGTCCCAATCATGGGAATCGCTCAAGGAAAATCCTCTCTATGAAGATTTGGTTGAATTCAAGGATGTATTCCCTGAAACTGTTCCGTGCGAATTACCGAAGGATAAAGGTACTCGGCACGAGGTCGAGCTTAAACCAGGCTCGAAGTACTGTGTCATGAAGCAGTGGCCACTGCCTCGTGAACAAGTACTTGCGATCGACAAGTTCTTTGCCGATCGTTTAGCTGCGGGCCATGTGAGGGAATCAACTTCCCCACATAGCTCTCCGACCTTCTGTGTGCGAAAAGCAACAGGAGGGTGGCGGATAGTGCACGCGTTCAACAAATTGAACGCTGCAACGGTACCGGCTCAGACGCCGATACCAAGGAAGGACGTAATCATTGATGGTATGTCAAAGAGTATTATCTTTTCGTCCATGGATTTGATGGATGGCTTCTATCAAATCCTTATGCGAGAACGGGATATACCCTATACCGCAGTGAGCACGCCTAGCGGCATGCTCTGAGAATGGCTAGTAATGCCACAAGGGCTCAGTAATGCCCCTGCCCTGTTCAACAGATGTGTATCACATCTGTTGAGACCAGTACGAGAATTCGCGCCGAATTATTTTGATGACGTATCCATCCATAGTCGGGCTATGGATGGAAAGTCGGATGTTGAGGTTCACAGGTACCACGTCCGACAGGTTCTTACAATCATGCGAAAGCATCAATTGTATGCTAACCTCAAGAAGTGTATATTTGCAGCAAACAAAAACCACTTCTTGGGTGCATCGTTGGTAAGAACGGTGTACGTCCTGATCCCGAAAAGATCAAGGCGATCACCGACTGGCCTGTGCCGGTTGATGTCAAAGGTCTTCGAAAATTCCTTGGGCTAGCGGCGTATTTGCATAAGTATTCACGCAATTACGCCGAGATGACTGTGCACCTCTCTCGTTTGTTGAAAAAGAACGAGAGGTGGTTATGGAACTCTGAATGTCAGCGCTCCATTGATGGTATCAAGCAGATCTTGATACAATTCCCATTCCTAGCGATAGCCGATCAGGACAGGCCATTTCATGTGGTCTGTGATGCCGGCGATTTCGCAATCGGCTGTGCATTAA